ATAACCATCAAGACGCCTGCCATTTGATATAAATAAATAGCAACAAGTGAAGGGAGGGAGGTGAGGGTGGGGGATCATCACAATTGAAAGAGGTATGGTAGAAATCTTCCCAATATCCCTAATTCTGCCAAATGGAATGGAGGTATATAGGAAAGAACATAACTCATTTGAAAGGAGTGCCTTTGTCCTACATTCGTAGACATGACACATACTTCAAGTAACAGCATACAACCGCTTCAAGGAGCTTCGAATTGCGATGTACAGTTCAATTGGTTATTTTTACCCTCTTTCGAAACGCATTCTTAACACCGTGTTTCACAAATTTACTCCTTCTGATATTCCGACTGCTGTACTGCTGTTTATAATGGCGTTCAACGCAATGATATTGCAACACCTAACCTGCCAATGGACAACCTTGACTTGAAACTGAAATAGTTTGATTCACATGGTCAACTCATGTGCCTATCGAGTCAGCGGCAATTAACAGAACCTCCTAATATGTGATCTAGGAAAGGCATATGCTCCCTGGAATCAAGAGGTAACACACAGAAGCACATTTGGAGACCCTCAAATCCATAAATACAATCTCCGTTTGTAAATACCATATTGTGTGTGCAATATGCTATTCTGTTGTTCTATAAACCATAAAAAGGGGTATCATCAATATTTGGTTCAGCAAATGCAATCTGTTTTCATAATTGAAGTTGGTCCAAATCAGGCGTAATCATATAATCATATAAAGCGTCTGTGTAACTGACAAGAAGTGTAATCATGTGGACTTCAACTGCCAATGAAATCAATCTGGCATTATATTAACTGCAAGAAAAATAAGGACTATAAAAAGATTGGAAACAACATAAAATCGTCGCTCTCCCTCTGGGACGCTTCTTCAGTGGTCACTAGGCTGACGGATTAGGACATATAAATAAGGTGGAGGAAAGCATTCCACAGCAAGTTTCGATCAGATATGTATCCGTATCGTTGACTATCATTTCAAGGACTGATAGTTTTAGAACCGCACTTGAGATAGTTGGATTGGAATCCTGAAACGACATACCTTATGGTTGGACTATCGAAAGTAAACTACTTGCTTAAAATTAAGTAGCAGCGCGGGTTCTACATGTTGCCTTTATTTTAAAATAATAACCCAGACCCCACTCCACCCCCCCCCTCCCCTTAGCATCCC